ACACCTTCACTGGGCAGGCTGCCTGCCCTGAGATAACAGCTGCCTCCCAGGATTACTAATGGGTGTAATCCTTATGTTAATTATGAGAAACCATCCAATACAGGTCTCTCAGGTTTCCAAGTCCACTGAGGATGTTGAAAGTATGCCAACTCTGAGTTGTCCAAAAAACTAACTGTGAGATTAAAAAAAACCAAAACCAACTCCAAAACTTTCAGTGAGTTGTACCCTGGCCACTCAGTGATCAAGGCCAGGTCAAAGGGTAAATATTTGCAGCAAAAATTATTGCTGAAATGAAGCTTTTCCTCTGCTGGAACCAGAATCTTTTTAATGTAGTGGGAAGCAAGCTGGCCTTGGAGTCAGGAGGAGCAAGTCAGTCCAAAAACATATAAAGCTCCTACTAAGTGCCTGATACTGTGCTAAGCATTCGGGATTATAAAAAAGAGGCAAAGAGTGTCCCTTCCCTCAAGGAGCTTATGCTCTAAATTTAACTAAATGTAACATAGCACTCTGCTGAAGACACATTGCCACTCAAGATTGTTGCCACAGAAAGTCATGGCTATCTTTGTTTCACTGCTGTTTGCCCTTCAAAGATAAAGAAATTGATATGATCTGAAGAATCACCATAAACTTGGGGGACAGATCTGAGATGGTAGTGTTCTACTACCCTTCTCAATCATCTCAGGACCCAGTTAATTGTGCCATGTCCTCTGATAATGCTCACCTGAACACATTGATTGTGCATAGGATTTTGTTTTGATTTTTTGGTGATACTGTGACCCAGCTGACTTGACCAGGATGGATTGCCCTGCTTTAAAATTCTCAGTCTTTCCAATTTATCCATGTCAGCAAATGGGGAGAGAGAAGTCACCAAGGCAACATTCTCCTACAGGGCAAGTCCACTGTCAAATTGTTTCCTCCCCATAACATTTCAACTCCATTTAGAAAGCATTCACAGCTAAATGCTGGGAAATGAATAAGAAAGATTGGTAGGAGGAATATTGGATTGAATTGGTTCAGTTTCTAGTACAGTGTAAATTTATTGGGTCAATGGGGAAAAAACGTCTTTTAGAGTACTTAGAGTTAAATAATTGATGGTTGAATAGCTACGTGGCATAGTGGGTCAAATTAAGTTGAAGAATAAATATTTTGACTGCATAAGGAAAAGATACAAATCAATAGAAAAGACCCTGATGTTGGGAAAGACTGAAGGCAAAAGGAGAAGGGGATGGCAGAGGATGAGATGAGCAGATAACATGGAAACAATGAACATGAACTTGGACAGATTTTGAGAGATAGTGGAGGATAGAAGGACCTATTGTTTTATATTCCATGGGATCATGAGGAGTCAGACACAATTGAAAGACTGAACAACAGTGGGGAGAGCATTAGACTTGGAGCCAGGAAGACCTGAGTTCAGATCAAGCTTCAGACATTAGCTATGTGACTGTGCACAAGTCACTTGACCTCTGTTTGCCTTAGTTTTTTCATCTGTAAAATGGGGATAACAATAGCACCTACGCCCCAGGGTTGTTGTGAGGATCAAATCAGATAGTAATTGTAAAATGTTTGGCATGGTGTCCGACACATAATAAACACTACATAAATGCTAGCTATTAGTATTACTAGTTAATAGATAATTGATAGTTAAAAAATAAAGTTGATAACTATAGCTAATATAAGTATTGCATGATTCTTAACATCTTTTATCACCCCACCCCTTTCATCTCCTTGCCACCCTCGCTGTGGAGCCAGGAGGACCAAGAGAAATTTTCTATGTTCAGTCATTTCGTGGGCAGTTATGCAAATAATAATTTCACTACTTGTCAAAACTTCTGGCTACTTTATGCTTAAGAAAGTTTTTCTTCAAACATCTCAAGTTTTAATTTACACTCTTCAGGTTGGCAAAGAACTAGGAAAACAACTTATAAAATGGCTACAATATTGTAAAGGAAAACAATTTTGAGAAACTTAAGAAAGCTGATCATTGCAGAGACTGGTCACAACTTGAGAAGATGGCTGATGAAGCAGTCTTCCCTCTCTTAGTACAGAGGTGGCTGGTGGATTATATGTCCAGAGTAAGATATGCATTTTCAGACATGACCAGCTGTAAATTAGTTTTGCTTAACTATATTTGTCACAGAAGATGGGCTTTTATTTATTTCAGGGGTGTGGGGGTTGATGTAGGGAGTAGTGATAATGATGCAAAAAAAAAAGAAAAGAAAAGAAAAGAGAGCCAATGAAACATTTAAAAATTCATAGATGAGAGAAGCAAAATGTTCAGAAGGGAACAGAGATAAGCAGAGTGGTGTTGATACTACTGTGTTATAAGAAATCCATGTTTTCATAAGCAAGGCTTTCTATGTTCTATATACATGCAAATATTGATGGTTGTGAAGGTCATAATAAGAAAGAAAATTTATAGATTAAATAAAATTAAAAGTTCTTCTTTCTATTCTAATTATAGTGGTAATGCTCTACTTTTCCAAGGGACACGAGGAGAGAAGCATTACTCAAATATAGTTCAAGACACTATAAATCATAATCCTATTTATGAAGCACCTCTTTCCAAGTTTGAAATATTTCACAGATAATTATTAACATGCTCTCATGGGACATGTTCAAAATTGTAGGATAATGGCTGGAGGGCTAGTTAGGAGAATGGTATAGGACAACATTTTTCTTTTACAGCAGACTTAAATCATTACTCCTAGGTGAGAGAATAGAAAGTCAGAGAAAGAATTGGGAATCAATCCCCATCCTTGCTGCTCAATCTGTTGTTTCATCCTGAACTCTGTTGCTCTCATGACATAGTTTAAATTTCTTTCCTTCCTTCCTTCCTTCCTTCCTTCCTTCCTTCCTTCCTTCCTTCCTTCCTTCCTTCCTTCCTTCCTTCCTTCCTTCCTTCCTTCCTTCCTTCCTTCCTTCCTTCCTTCCTTCCTTTCTTCCTTCCTTCCTTCCTTCCTTCCTTCCATCATCTGTGATTTCATTGTTACAAGGAACTCCTGGAAAAGGAAGACTCCATTTATCAATGCAGGCCAGCCCCATCTTGACAACTTAAATTGAGAATTGCCTAAAGCACTGAGAGGTTGAACAATTTGCCCCCACAGCCTGCACCTGTCAGAGGTGGCCCTTGAACCCAGATCATCCTGGTCCGAGACAGCTTTCTATCTACTATGCCATAACATATCTCCATATGTACATTTTATCTACATATATGCATATTACACAATCCATTCTACGTATTCATGATGTATATGCCTACTTCACAGGCCATCTTTCCAAATTGAAATAGAATTACTAGCACATCGTGTTATCATCTTTCTTCCAGCCTTCCTCCATGTCAGTAATCATTGCATATGGTCTTAGTGGAAGATTTTCTTTATACCTTTCCATTGTGAAAAGAAGCAAAGTAATTTGGAAATGAGATTCAAATATAACTCCCAGCAAAGATTTAGTCATTCATGTCAACTTAAAGATGCTGCCAGCTTTTTTCCCCACTGCCTTTTTTCATAATCGTGAGATCTGATTCCCTTCTAAGTGTTGTTAGCCATTTCCTGATGTGTTTCTAGATGTATGCATATGTATACAGATGGTGCTGGGATTGCAACGGTGCAAACTCCAACTCCTTGGTGTCCTGGGCAGTTGGCACATGCCAACAGGAATAGAAACTAGCTGCAAAAGGCAAATGTTGGAGTCCAGGCTCGTCGCACTACAGACAAGATGTGTTCATTTGGGTGTTTGCTATTTCCAAAACAAGGGCAACATGTAGAATTTTTATGGAGATCATTTTGGCAATGCATGCTGAAAGTTACAAAAATAATTATACACGGTGGCCCAATAATTCTATTGCTGGGAACATACCCAGACAGCATTGTCAAAAATAACGACAGAACAAAGAACAATTTGTCCAAATTGTTCATAGCTACATTATATATAATGGCAAAACCAACAACAAATAAACACAAGACAAACTAAATGCAGTCTAATAGAAATAGTTCTGGTTCTGTTGTCAAAGGACCTGGGTTCAAATTTTACCTTTGATACTTTCTACCTGTGAGACCTGGGACAAGTCCCTTAGTCTCCTTAGGTCTCAGTTTACTCATCTGTAAAATGAATGGGTTGGACCAAATGGCCTCCAAGGTCTCTTCCAACTCTAGATCTAGGATGCTAAATGTCCAGACGTAAAGGAAGTATATAATTTGAGGGACATTATTGTAACAGAATATTATAATGCAGTTAAGACTGACCAGTATGAGGGATATGAATGAAATATGGCTTTTCCTCTTCACTTCCATGTTCTCTGACTCCCCCAAACTGCACCCATGTTATCAGTCTGGGTCCCCAGAGGGGAAGCTGTTATTATTATACTTAGGGTTTCAGAGATAAGGGGAAGGGGAGCAGATTCTGACTACTATAGTTCCTGAGTCCCTCCTAGTGAACATTCTATTAACAAATCAGGAAGGTGACTCAATGAGCTTGCTTAAAAAAAAGTTTTTATTGATATTTTCTGTTTCTCGCATTGCTATAGTTATCCCAAGTATCCCTCCCCCTCCCAGGGAGCCATCTTATATGACAAATAGTATTTTTTTTTAGAGAGGAAAAAATCAACATATCAGGTTGAAACATTGAAAAAGTCTGAAAACATGTGCAATGTGTAACACCTATAGACCTTGCACCTCCACAAAGGAGTAGGTTGGGGATATCTTGTCTCTCTTCATTTGAGTCCGGCTTGATCTTTATAATTTTAGCACATTTGCTTTTGATGTTTTGGTATGTCATTGTTCTTTCCCTTTACATTATTGCAGTCACTGGGTATGTTGCTTTCTTAGCTCTGCTTACTTCACTCTGCATCAGTTCACGTGGCTCTTTCCATGCTTCTCTGTATTCATCGCACACTTCATTTCTTACAGTGCAGTAGTATTCCATTACATTAAAATACTACCATTTGTTTATCCATTTACCAATTGATGGGCATCTACTTTGTTTCCAATTCGTAGCTATCACAAAAAGTGCTGCTGTAAATATTTTGGACTATATGGGGACTTTCTTCTTATCGATGGCATCCTTGGGGTATAAGCTAGGAATGGAATCTGTGGTTCAAAGGGTATGAACATTTTAGTCACTTTATTTGCATAATTCCATTTTTTCCAAAATAACAGTTTCATAATTCCACTAAGAATATATTAGTGTGCTTGTATTTCCACAACTCAATGAATTTTTAACAACATTTACATTGAGTAAACAGCATTAATTCAAAAGGCAAAACAAGAACAATAATTACCTGGAGTTTGTGGTCCCAACAATGTATGTGTTCTATGTTGGAGAGTGGGCACAAGCTCTATATGATAGTTCAGAAAGTTCCATGGTAGTGACTAACATATGTGAGGAATCTGTGGCCAGATGAACTTCCAATGTTTCTGTAACTGAGTTTCAATGTTTTTTTGTTTTCTCTCTCGGGGACCGTCCTTGCAAAGGTTACTAATGAGTGCATTCACTGCTAAGTTGGGAAGCTCCATATTTGTGCTAAACCACTCTGCTGTAAGACTGGTCAGCTTCAAGGTTGGACTAGACTGTTTTCCTACAAAGTTGCTCCATGACTGAGCTCAACTGCCCCTTTGTTGGGCTGGGCCATTGTTCTGTACTAAGCTGGATCAACCCACTGCTAGGATGTCCCTCTCTGTTAATGAATTAGTGCTTTGCTCTTTCAGAAAGGGCAGAGTCCTTTTGCCTAGGATTTCTGGAAGGTTCTCTAATACCATTTGCCTGGCCAAGTTCGGAGGGATTTCTACCTTCTGGGTACCAACTGACGGAATGGAGTCTCTCTTTCACCAAAAAATCCTTTCAGTCTTTAGAGAGCAGTACGAAAAGGGATAGCTTGTCTTCCACTAATTTATGAAGTCTTTTCTTAGGTCAGCCTCCTTGGCTCAGAGAGCTAGGTCCTCTCAGTGAAATATCTCACTCTAGTTTATAGTGATTAATCAGAACATTACCAAATCCCCATCTCTGCTGGCTAAGCCATAATCAGGCAATGTAAATGTATCTCATAATCACAAAATAGTTCTGAGGTCCAAAGTTGTAATTAGCTGCCATGTTCCCCTATTGTTCAGTATGCAAAGGTGCAGCTAGAAAACAAGACACTGAAACAGTTGTGTTTGTTTGTTTGTTTTGCATTGTCTCTATTTTGAGTGTTTTTCACATACAAGTCTCATATTTGTCTTTGTCTTCTTGCTTTCCTAACAACAAAGTTGTCAGCCTAGAAGGGGTATACCCTTACAGAAAGAAATGTGGAAGCATTTTCATTAACTATTATAGGACAAAAATAAAACAACCCAACAACCACTCTAAAACCCAGAACCAGAGGATTATACATGAACTACCATCTATGAGGAAAACTAAATAAAAATGATTGGTCGAAGAAAATTGATGGAAATTTAGAAGGAATGACTAAAAAGGGTTATGTTTATTTATGACTTGATATTTATCAATTTCAATGTAAATAAGATCATGGATCCAGAGATGGAGGGGATGTTATAGATAATCTATTACAACTCATTTGACAAATAAAGAAACTGAAGCCCATAGAGGTTCAATGACTCCCTCAAGGTCACCAAATTAGTAAGTGAAACAACTGGGACTCCAACCCAGATTCTCTTATTCTAAATGGAGTAATCTTTCCACCACGCTAAGCATACATTGTTGGTTTTATCTATGAATAGCTTTTTTTTTCTGATGAAAGATATAATTTTAGAAAAAAAATTTGTATGGAAGATTCTAAAATGCTGATTGTTGCTTCTTACCTTTCAGGAAGGTTCTTTTAGGATGTGACAGATTTCCCTATTTCTTTCAGTGAGAGTTCATTCATTTGATAAGCAGTTATATGGTGCTATGCAAAATGAAATAATTTCAGCATTCAAGGAGTTAAATTCCACTGACAAGGAAATGACATGTATGTAGGTAAGCAATCTTCTCCTCTTCTCCGTTCCCCTCCCTTTCCCCCACCTTTCCTTTTCTCTACCTTCCTCCATCCTTCCTTTCTTTCTTCTCTTTCTCCTCCCTCTCTCTCTTCTCCCTTTCTTCCCTCTCTTTCCCCCTCTTTTCCCCTTCCCTTCCCTTCCCCTTCCCCTTCCTCTTTCCAGCTCTCTCATAATTTTGGGGACAGCAACATAGAAGGAGGCCTCGTGTAGAAGGAAGAACTGAACTGTGAAGGACTAAAGATACTGCGAAGCAGAGATGAGGAGGGACTGCACTCCCAACATGGGGACAGCTGGTACTAAGACACAGAGATAACAGATCAATTGTTACACGCAGAGAAAAGTAAGTCGGCCAGTTTGGCTGAAACATAGAGTGCGTAAAGGAGAGTGAAGCATAAGCATCCTGGAAAGATAGAGTCAGGAGACAGATTGTGAGAGGTCTTCAATGCCAAACAGAGAAATTTGTTTTCTTCCTAGAGGAGAGAGTCCTTGAATGAACAGAGGACAGAGATTTCTGTTGGTGTTTTATTTCTGACCCAGCTTACCTAGGATCTGAAACTTTTCAAGATTTAACTTTTTTCCATCACGATAACTGACATTTATATAGCACTATATAGTTTGTTCAAGTTTACATATGTGTGTGATCTCCTTTGATTCTCAGAGTGACCCTCTGAGAGAGGTGTGAGATATTATCATCTTTATTTTACATATAAGGAAACTGAGGCTTAGAGAGCTTTTGAAATTTGGTTATGTTCACACAGGAAATATCAAAGGTGGGATTTGAACCTAGATATCCAGACAATTAATCAATCAATAAAGATGTATTAAGTGCCTAATGTGTGTCAGGAGCTTCATTATGGAATCAAGCTATAAAGACAAAAAGGAAACAGTCCCTGCCCTCACGCAGCTGATATTCCATTGGGAGAAACGTCATGCACACGCACAAGAATTTACATACCAATGAACACAAGATAATGGGGGGAGGTATGGGGTTAGCAGCTGGGGAGATCAGGAAAGAATTCAGTAGGATGGGCTTCAGCTGAGTTCTGAATGAAGCTAAGAAGTTGAAGAGGCAGAGTGAGGAGGGAGTGCATTCCACACATAAGTGGCAGCCTGTGGAAATGAGAACTAGAATGTTACATGTGACAAATATCTGGACCACAGAGTGTATGAAGAGGTATTATGTATGGTAAGGCTGGAAAGGCAGGCTAGAGCTGTGTTGCAAAGGACTTAAAATACCCAACAGAAAAGTTTTTTAAAGAAATTACAAGAAATTAGGGGCCACTGGAATTTACTGAGCCAGTCAGTCATTATGCATTTATCAAGCACCTAGTATTTGTCAGACATGGTACTAAACCCTAGGGATACAAAGAAATGTAAAGAACAGTCCCTGTCCTCGAGGAGGAGAGGGAGAGAACATGCAGATAACTGTGCAAACAAGCTATATTTGGGATAAATTGGAAACAGCCAAGAGAGGGAGGGCAATAGAATTAAGGGGGACCAGGAAAGGTTTCCTGTAGAAGGTGGGAGCAGGAAACCCAGAAGCCAGAAATAAGGAAGGAGAACATTCCAGGGATGTGAGACAGCCAGTGGAAATGTCCAAAGTTGGGAGATGGAGCATTTTGTCTGAGGAATAGTAAGGAAGCCAGTCCTTTCAAATATTTTCTTATATACTACCTGCATGAAATTGGTCATGTCATTTAAATTCCCTGGTACTCAGTTTCCTCAATTATAAAATGAAAAGATTGGACTAGATGACTCTAAGTTTCTTCTAGCTTAAAATGAATGATTCTAGGACTAGTATTGAATCCTTCTTCTGATACTTACTAGCTGTGTGAGCACAGAATTTAGAGCTGGGAGAGATGGACCTTAGATATCACCTAAAACAACTCCCCTCATTCTATGGATGAGGGAACTGAGGTCCAGAAAGATGATATGGCAGGTCACCAGGATTATAAATGTCAAAGCCAGAAGTTGAACTCAGGTCTTCTGGCTCCAGTGCCAGGTCTCTTTCTACTATAGAAAATAGGTTACACGTGATCTCAGGCAATGATAACAAAACAACATAGTGTAAGGTAAAGATATCATTATGTATATGTCTGTCTATCTATCTATTTTATCTATTACTTGTCCAATCCATCCATCCATCCATCCATCTATCTATCCATCTATCCCTCCATCATCCATCCATCCATCCATCCATCCATCCATCCATCCATCCATCCATCCATCCATCCATCTGTCTGTCTGTCTGTCTATATGTCTGCCTCATCTATTATCTGTTCTTTCTATCTATCTATCTATCTATCTATCTATCTATCTATCTCTCATCTGTCTATTACTTGTCTCTTCTACCTATCTATCCATTTATTCTTTATTTATTTTATTGTATTATCATGGAACATTAAAATTGGAACAGAACCAAGGCATCATCTCATTCAACCCTCATCATTATACAGTTGAGGAAACTGAGGCCTAGGGGAGGAAATTACTTGTCCAAGGTCATAGAGCTAATTAGGGACAGAGCCACGGCTAAGAATCCAGTCCCCAGATCCCCAATAAAACCTTCTTTCTTCTATACCAGCATTAATCCTTTTTTAAACTTAAATCTTATTTTTCAAGGTATCACTTCTTAATTTGAAGATTACCTATTTATAGAGATAGGCCGATTCACAGGCAGTGTTCACCATTGCCCTTTTTCCTTGTTCAGCTTTTTGTCCCTTCTTTCTTTCATGGTATTGTCAATGGGATTGCATAAAGACTACAGTAAATCCTGTCTTTGACTCTTGCTCAAACCTTGTTCCTGAGATGACCAGAAGAGGGCAGTGTTTGAGCACTAATGGGGAAATAGCTTTTTTCTTTCCTTTTTTCTTTTCCTTCCCTTCGCTCTTCCCACCCTCCCCTTTCTCCTATGAGAGCACAAAACCCCCAAATAATAGCATCATGGAGGTACTCCATCGCTAGGTTCAGGGCCGATAGACTGGCTCCAAGATCAGGTTTCAGCATCATTTTGCAGATAATTTACTTGGTTCCTGCTGATTCTAAAGAATAGCTCTTCCCAAGCCCACTCTGGGTAAATTGGAGTGACTCTGAACTGCTTAGGGCTTTCCATTGGGAACATGGATGGCTAGTCTTGAATTATTCAAGTGTATTCATATACTTCTGATGCCTGGGCCATGTGCTCAAGGCATTAAACTTCCCTGTTCTTCTTTTACCAAGGTATAATCCTGGAAGAAAAAATCTTACAGTTACTTTAGTCTTAATTTAATAACACCCTGGGGTGGGGGCAAAAATCCTACAGTGCTGAAGGACAGACCCAATGGAATACCCAGGATTTCATACAATATTCAATTCAATTTTATTTTATTTTAAAATTTCTTATTTTTTCCCTTAAAATTGTTCACAACTTTTGTTCTCTACTCCACTGTCACCTTGTATAATAGCCATTTGTTGAATCCTCACTTGCAACAAAGCAAAATAGTTAAGCAAAATTATCCAGACAAAAAAAATTGCCTTTGGTAGCACATGCAATATTTTGCAGCGCTAGTCCCCCACCTCTCTACTGACCGGAAGGAGTCTTAACTACACACCTTATTCTAACTAACAGATATTTCTAGAGTGTCCATGTACTTTGGAAAAAATATACATGCATATGTGTATATATATATATATATATACACACACACACACACACACACACACACACACACACACACACATACATATATATATATATATATATATACACATACATTTGAAAATATATTTTTAGTAACTATTTCAATTCAGTTGGTTTCCTTTGTAATACTATGTGTTTTGTTTTATGCATTTAAAAAGATTTTTTTCTAAGAAGGAGTTCATGGGCTTCAACAGACTGGCAAAGAGGTCCAGGACCCAAAAAAGATTAAGAACCCCTCATATAGAGGAAGGACTTATTTCTATGTTTTCTTTCTTCAGAAATTTAGAGCTGTAAGGGGTCATTTAGATTGTAGTCCAAACCTCTCATTTTATAGATGAGGAGCTAAGGTGTAGGCAGCGTAGGTTACTTGCCTAGGATTTCAGAGGGCATGGAAGGAGAATGAACATTTATATAGTGACTACTCTGCTATAGCTAAGTACTTTTTATGAATATTATCTCATTTGAACCTATTACTATTATCATCCCAATTTTACAGTTGAGGAAACTGAGGCAAGTGGTAGTTAAGTAACTCACCCAGGGTTACCACAACTAGTGAATATCTTGAGGAGGGATTTGAACCCAGGTCTTCCTGACTCCAAGTACAGTGCTCTATCAACTATGTCGTGCTGCCTCTTGGAAATTAATTGGCAACAGTTTGCTGACAAAGAAGAAACTTTTTCTATGTTTTGAGATTATGTTCATTATTGTATGTATGTAGGAGGGAAAGAAGGATTTGGAAGGAGCCAAATAAACATTTGTCTGCCATTGTGAATGATCAAATAAGATAATATTTGCACAGTGCCTGGCACAAAGTACGTTATTTAAGAAATGCCTGTTCCCTTCCCCTGTGACAATAGACAGAAGATTTCTTGGAGACCAGCAAATACATAGATTCTTCTATTACTTCTGAAAATTCAAATGTATGGGGGCAGCTAGGTGGTACAGTGGATAGAGCACTGGCCCTGAAGTTAAGAGGACCTCAGTTCAATTCCAGCCTCAGACCAAACACTTGATACTTACTAGCTGTGTGACCCTGGGCAAGTCACTTAATCCCTATTGCCTCGCTTAAAAAAAATTCAAGGGTAGGCTAAACTTAAAATTTTAGGGTGCTTATGGGACTTCCCTACACAAGTGGAAGACAGATTGTACTCTCATGTTCTGGGCTAACCATGATGAGAACTTTTTTGCTTAGCACAGTTTTGGGTGGTGTGAGTTGACCAGGTGGCATCCACAAGCTCATATAGAAATCCCTCTAAGAAAGAGATATTCTACTTTGAGTCGTGATCTCCATGTGCAGTACAATTTTTAGTTTATCTTGGGTGTAGGTAGCCATTTTTAAAATTGTGTGTTCTAAAAGTCTCAGTGCAGTTTAAAGCTTTAATGCGCTAACCCTGGGGCAGCCAGGTGGCACCATAGTGCACATAGAGCACTGGGCCTGGAATCTGGAAGACTCATCTTCATGAGTTCAAATCTGGCCTCAGACACTAACTAAACTGTGTGATCCTGGGCAAGTCACTTAACCCTACTTGCCTCAGTTTCCACATCTGTAAAATGAGCTGGAGAAGGAAATGGAAAACTGTTCCAGTATCTTTGCAAAGAAAAGCCCAAAGGGGATCACAGTCAGACAAGACTGAAGTAACTGAACAACAACAATAAATTTAACACAGAACCATGACTTTCTGTGATGCTCTGAATTTTAAGATGGTGCTGGTGATGCTCAATATCAACTTGGCAGACCAAAATGAAAATATTTTATCACAGGGTAGGGAAGATGAACAGCCTATTGTTTATAGATTAGGTCCTTCACTCTACCATCTTAAAATTGTGCTCATAGAACTGTATTTGCAATGGTCCAGCTACGGTCTTCTGCTGTAGACAATACCCAAGAGTAGGCCCGAACAGTAGGAGGAAAATATGTACTGAAAGACATTTCTATCCTATTTGACTCTATGGCCAAGCCCTGTGGAGGAGATGGGTGAGTAACTGACTAATGGTAGGTGATGAGACCAGGGAACAGGACTAATAGACTGGTTATAAGTTAACCATGATGCACTGAGTGGCATGATGTGACATGTCATGCAGTCAAAGCCATATGAAAAGGGGGGGTTGTTTTGATGGCTTTGAGACTTCACAGTCTTCTGGATTTAGAGGTGGAAGAGACATCAACATCTAGTTGGCTCTGCTCTCTCATTTTACAGATGATGACACTGAGGCCTCAACAGGTTGAAGTGGTGATCCCAAGTTCAGACAGGCTTTGAACTCAAGTCCTTTCATTCTAGATTCCAGGTGGCACAGATAGTCAAAGGTAAAGCCAGGATCTGAACCCCCGTCTAGGTCCAAAACCTTACACCCCATATCTGCTACATCATAGCAGTCCTAATTTAATGCTCTGATTGCCTATCTGATGTTTCTCACATTTGCTAAGTAACTGGACCATCTCCTATTATTTTGTCTCTATCTATCTATCTATCTATCTATCTATCTATCTATCTATCTATCTATCTATCTATCTATCTGTCTGTCTGTCTGTCTGTCTGTCTGTCTGTCTGTCTGTCTGTCTGTCTGCCTGCCTGTCTGTCTGTCTGTCTGTCTGTCTGTCTGTCTGTCTGTCTGTCTGTCTGTCTGTCTATCTATCTATCTATCTATCTATCTATCTATGTATCTATCCATCTATCTATCTATGTATCTATCTATGTCTCTCCGTCTCTCTACTTGTGTATGTATGCTATGTTGTTATTCAGCTGTGTCCAACTCTTCATGACACCATTTGGTGTTTTCTTGGCAGAGATACTAGAGTGGTTTGCCATTTCCTTCTCCAACTCATTTTACAGACAAGGAAACTAAGGTAAATGGGTTAGGTGACTTGCCCAGGTCTAGTAAGTGTCAGAGGCTGGATCTGAACTCAGGAAGATGAGTCTTCCTGACTGTAGGCTGGGCACTCTATCCACTGTGCCACCTAGCTGCATATGTGTATACCTGTATATATATATGTGTGTACACATGCACATATTTGTATCCTCTCTGTCACCACTGGAACTTTCTCTCTCCTTTCTCATTGAGTTTGGTGTCTTCTTCACAGTCTTTCTCTCCCACCCAAGAAACTTCACCATAAATATTGACAGTCCATCAAATTCCCTAACTTCTTAGTTCCAGTTACATTACTCCCACAACCCAATCCTCCATTCAACCTCAGTTACACACGAAGATGAGCGTACCCTTGATCTCACCATGACCCGTATGTTTTCCACTTCCATATTTCATCTAATCATAATCATCATCTCTCCTTAAGCCTAATACCTCCTAAACCTACTTCTTGTCCTTGCCATTTCTTTCAATTCCTCCATCCCTCACTGCCATCCCTGCTTTGGCTACATTCTTCT